TATTGGGGCGGCGCCGCCTGTGAGCGGGCGACGAGCGGGGACCGGCCGGGCCGGCGGCGGCGCCGAGGCCGACAAGCCGCGCGGGCCGGGCCGGGCCGAGCGAGCGGGAGCGGAGCGGAGCCTCGGGCGGCGGGAGGAACAGCGCCGCCGCCGCCAAGATGGCCGACCTGGAGGCAGTGCTGGCCGATGTGAGCTACCTGATGGCCATGGAGAAGAGCAAGGCCACGCCGGCCGCGCGCGCCAGCAAGAAGATCCTGCTGCCGGAGCCCAGGTGAGCCCGCCTGCGCCGGGCCCCACGCGCCGCCCCGGGGTACCGTGCCCCGGGGACCCCCTCTCTCCCGGCAGCCCCAGGCTCCGGGGACCCTCTGCCCCCACGACCCCACTGTTCGACTGCCCCAGGACCCGGGAAGCCCCTCCTACTCCGGGGAGCTTCTGCCCCGGGGACCCCACTGTCCTGGCCGCCCCAGGACCCGGAGACTTTCTCCGTCCCGGCCGCCGCAGGCTCGGCGACCGCGAGCCCAGAACGCCCCAACTCAAGCTCCCAGCCGCGTTCCCCCGGCCGCGCTGCCGCTTCCTGTATCTGCCGGGCCTGGTCGCTGTCAGCCCCTGGCTCTGCTGCAGCCCTCTTCCCACCCTGGTGCCTCGCTCTGCCCTCCACCCTCTGTGTCCCCTCGGAGTTTCCTTCCCCTTGTCTGCCTCTGTTTACCCGATTGTATCTCCCAGTCTGTTGCCCCTGCTCCCGGCACTCTCCCCTCCCCCGTTGGTGTTCCACTACCCTATCAGCTCGCCTTGGAGTGGGTAACACTCTTGTGAGCTTTGTGGAGTGAGGAGGGCGAGTCTGGAGACTTTTTTTGCCTTCCCCTCTGGTGGGGGCCACTGGCCCGGGATTGGGTTTGAGTGCTTTCTGGGGACAGTGCAGTGGCGTGTGTTGTACCCATCCATCCCTGGGGGCAGCGTTCAGGTGAGGGAAGTCCCTTTTCACCCTCTTCCCCATATGTGGCGCCTTGTGGGTACTTTTGACCAGGGAACACCCCATCCTATAGCAGCTGGTCCGCGCTGCCACCTCTCTGCAAGACAACTGATGTCATCGCACCTGCTATCAAAGTTTAAACTGTCCAGGATGTGGGTGCAGAATTGGGCAGGATGTGAGGCGTGTAGCTGGGGCTTGTCCAGTATACTGTGGCAAATAGACTTATCTTCCCATTTGAGCTGCACAGGAGACCAGGGAGTGAGTGAGACAGGTGTAGTTTTCTTCCCGTAGTATGTATATGTGTGTGTGTGTGTGTGTGTGTGTGTGTGTGTGTGTGTGTGAGAGAGAGAGAGAGAGAGAGAGAGAGAGAGAGATGGGGTACATCTCAGACTTGAATGGCTTGTTCAGGGTCACCCGGGTAATCCATAGGGACACCTGGCCTCACCATCAGGGCCTTCAGCTTCTAGTTGTATGTTTGGTTCACTGTCCTGACCTGAAGCCTGGCCTGGATGTCCTGCATCTGGAAGAGCAAATATGTCCACCCAGCAGGATGCCTCATGGTGGGTGATGAGGCGGATCCCAGCCGGCTCTCATGCCACCCTCAAGAATTGGGTCTGATGTGAGACAGCCATACTCTGTCACAGGACATGGGGCAAGTTCTTTCCCGGTGGGCAGTGTGAAATAGGCCTCTGGTGTCTCATTCCTTGGAACAGGGTGGGCAGCTTGCAGGGATGCTGCTGTGCCTCTCTCTGCGCCCCTCCTCCCATGGCTGCTCACTGGGTTTCGGTTTGACTGAGAACCAAGCCCAGTAAAGGAAAAAACTGGTCTGCGTTCCGAAGAGACCGTTGGGCCCCCTTCTTTCTAAGACACTTGCAATCAGATTTCTCAAAACAGGAACTAGGCTGAGTGTCAGCTGGGGTTGTCTAGGGGCAGCGGCAGTTAGGATGAAAATGAGTTCAAAAATGACAAAACTTCAAGGGAAGAGGTGGGGGAGGGGTGCAGTTAGCATCCAGGGCACTGTCTAGCTCTCTTGGGCAGCCACAGTCATGGGATTCTCTTGCAGGTCTGCAAAGTTTGAGGTGGTACCTTTTTCTAGAGCTCTCCATGTTTGGATAATCTTTCCCCAGAATGCATTGCTCCTAATGGAGCCCGCCTTGGGTCACCTCTGCAGGTATTTGAGAACCCCAATAAGTGAGCTGGGCCTCTTTTCCTTTACCCTCTCTTTTGGTGGTAGTGATGATGTGGTAGGAACAAGAATGGAAATTTTAATAGTTCATTATTTATTTTGACATCTGTCATCTCAGTTGGTCCAAAAACCAGCATGTGAAGTTGGCAAGGCCGTGCCCATGTGTGGTCGTTGCTCAACAGTACCAGGATGGGGTGATATCTGGGAGCAGAATTGGGGCAGGCTCTGAGTTCTAGGGAGCGGGTGCAGCTTTATCAGTAGCATGTTGTTGGGCCGACTGCTCAGTCTGTGAATGGTTCGGAGCCTCAAACTCTGACCACAGGTGTGCTCAGGCCAGGAAGGACCCTGAGTTGCCCTGCAGTGGCTGTGGCCTCCCACACTGGAAAACAGGTCACTTTCATGATGCATTTTGCACACTCTTGAGACAGGTGTCTCTTGCCCTTGAAGGTGGTTGTGACCATGTCTCATGTTTGCCCACTATGTCCCAATTTGCAAACTGCCCTGTCTTCACGACTCTGGGACAATGGCTGACCCAGCAGGTGGTATTTTCCTCATTTACTAATTGAGGCCTTGGGGCTTGTCAGACAAAAGATCTGGGATTGGATCACAGATCTTTGGAGTCCTGTCTTTTCCACCCACTCCCAGATAACTGGTTTGTGGGAGGGGATGGCTGACACCCCTTGTCTTGGTCTGTGGGTCTGGGGTGGCGGCCTGAAAGTAGCAGGGCAGTTTCTGGTTTCATCGGCTGTCACAGTATACAGGGCCCAACCCTTTGCCATTTGCTGAAACAGAGAAACAGGCTGCCCTGGCAAAGATAACGCATACATAGAAGGACAGATGCACGCCAGGCCCTCCATCAGATACAGGGTCCTGCTTTCCCAGGTGAAGAAGCAGTGGGGTTTGTTCCTGTGCCAGTGTGCCAATGGGAGTTGTTCCCACTTTGGGGTGGGCCATCCTGGTAGCCTCTCTGTGGCTGGTGCTCAGGGTTGTGGCTTGGCTGAGCTTGGCTGGCATCACAGCTCTTATTTCCCAGGGCTGGGGACTGGGAACTGTTGGGCATAGTGCCACTGTAATTTGGCAAAGGGACCTCTCCTTCTGTCACCTAGAGGATCTGGGGACAGACTCATCCCCGACCTTCTCACAGGAGGGGGGTGTTGTGTGGATAGAACATAGGGGTCCTGGCTCCTCACTACTGCAATTCTGGCTCACATAGGATCCAGGCATACTTATCCTGGCTGGACCTGCCTCAGTTTATCTGTTTTGGTAAAACGAGGAGGCTGGTCCTTCACCAATGACCTCCCAGGGTTGTGGGGCTGTGGTCTGGGCCTCGCCCTGTAGAAGCTGTTGCCTCTTTCCCAGCAGCTGCCGCTGTCTTATAATTATCATCATTTGCTTAATATGACCACTGAGGCCCTGTGTAATTAATCTCAGGGCTCCTGGGTGAGGAGCCCTGCCTGGGCGGTCCCAGGAGATGTCCCTGCTCTCCCTGGTGACAGCGGCAGCCCCAGAAGCAGCATGTGGGAGCTGGGTGCCTCTTGCAGCCTTCTGGTTCTCTGGGCTATTTCCTGGTCCCTCCCCCACCATGAGCTTCCTCCGCGGCTGCCCGCCCCTTGCTTGTTTCCCCGGTCTCCCCAGACCCTGCTACTCTTCCTTCTCTGCGTCTTCGTTCCTGTTAACTCATTACAGCCAGGACTTCCTGCCTAGATTGGTGGGGGAAGGAGAGCTGAGAAGGCTTTTGCTCTTCTTCCTCCCTCCACTTCTCCATCACCAGCAGAAAGTCTACTGCTGCCAGCCATTACCCCTCACCAGAACATTCCACTCCAGTAGCAGCAACCCACCCCCTCCTGCCCCTGAAAACAAGATTATCTTTTCTGCAGTCTATCCCTGCGGGCCTTTGAAGCTGCTACTGCTCCCTGGGAATGGCTCTCTAGGATGCCTTTCCCCATCTGTCCTCCTCTCCTGAGCAAGCCTCTCATGGATTTGCTATTAAGTTGCTCAGCTCTGCTTGCTTCCTCACTGCACTCAGTAAATGGATTTGAAGGGAGCGTGAGCATCATAGGTCGGGATCCGTGCACAGGGATCTGGGCTCTGTCAGCCTGGGAATGATGTGTCCTATTAATGCACAATCCAAGCTAGTAGTAAATCCTGGGTGACGTCAAGCGCAGGCACACATTCGCAGCAGCTTCTCCTTGTGCCCAGGTTGCTGTGTAGGGAGCTGAGAGCCCCAGGGCCCCAGGGAGTTCCAGCTGCCTGCACATGGCCACTGTTCTCAGGATATTATGGAATAAACAGCAGGAGCCAAGAGCATGTGATAGTTTTTGAGGAATGCACTGCCTCCATCATACCTGCTGTTTCTCCCTGGGCCTCTTCCCCACTCCCCACTGGCTCCTAAGGCTGTTTCTTCTTCCTGGTAGTTACATGGAGGTTATTTCAAGCCCACTTCAAATGAGATCCCAAAAGTAAGGCGTTTGGCAGCAGCATTTTTCTGTAGCGACATCTCGTCTCGCATCACTGCTTACTGAAAAGGGCGGCTTTGGTGATGCAGACGTGGGTGTTTGGTGATAAAATGGGGGTCACTTCTCTGAGGGTGGAAGCTCCTGGAATTGGAATAGGGAACAACCCCCATCCAGGGACTGCAGGGCAAGGACCCCTAGAATTGTGTTCTCAATGTACACTAACAGGATGTCAACTCCTGGTGTCCTTGTAAGCAGTAAGATGCAGGGTGCCTGTTTACATCTTGTTTGTGATGGCTGAAGTCTCTCTTCCTTAATGTTCTGCAGGAGAACCCGAGAGGCTAGGGCTCGCTAGACATTGACCGTGGGCTCCTGGTCTACTGCTGTTGCCCTCCACTGGCCAAGGGTTTGTGCGGACATGGTGGTCACAGTTGCTCTTTCCTCTTTGGTAGTGGCCCCATCCTTGAGCTCTGAGAACATAGCTGGGCCCCAGGGAGAGTCATCGAGAAATATTAATAAGAAACCCCAGGGGACTTCTTCCTGCTGTTGCCACCTCTGTGCCAGGTTTCCTGGAAATGCCACCAGGGAGTGCCTCAGCTACAGCCACAGCTTGTTGACTGTCTCCTCCCAGGGTGGCAGTTTCCAGTGTGGCTGTCTGAGAC